TTATTGTGGCTTTGTTCACAATAGCAAGGAGTTGGAAACAACCTAAGTGCCCATTTACAAACAAATGGATAGAGGAGCTGTGGTATATTCACACAATGGAATACTATGCTGCATTGAAAAACAAGCAAATCTTAAAACAACTATGAGATATCATCAAGCAACAAATGCTGGCGAGGTTGTGGAGAGATTGGAACCCTTATTCACTGTTGGTGGGAGTGTAAAATGGTGCAACCACTGTGGAAGGCGGTGTGGCGCTTTCTCAAAACGTTGCAAATAGAGATACCATTTGACCAGCAATTTCACTACTGGGAATATACGCCAAAGAGACCATAACTGACATCCAAACAGATATATGCACACCCATGCTTATTGCGGCTTTGTTCACAGTAGCAAGGAGTTGGAAACAACCTAAGTGCCCATCAACAAACGAATGGATAGAGAAGCTGTGATATATTCACACAATGGAATACTACGCTGCATTGAAAAACAAGGATATCATGAAATATTATACAAAATGGGAGGCTCAGGAGTACATTGTGCTGAGTGAAGTGTCTCAGTCGCAAAAGGACAAATAGTGCATGGTGCCACTGTTGTAAAACAGGACTGACATCAGGTTTGGGGGGAGACTGAGAAAGATGAGTTCAATAATGTATACTGCATTGAAACAGATGAGCGAGAAAACTGTTTAAAAGGGATATGTGATTAGGTATTTTTGTCATGGCAGGAGTCCAGAGCGAAGGCTGCATAGTGGAGTGGACCTGGGGGAGGGTTTGTAAAACAATGAAAGAACCTGAAATAACCATGTAGACAAATTAACACTGAAGAACCCTGCATGTTAGACCATTCTGAGGGGAATTTATTGGTAATATTTATTTTAATGCAAGTTTCCATTACACTTTTCTTGGTATTTGTTTTGTGGTTTTTATTTGGGTGACTTGCTTTGGTGAAGGCCATCAAAACCTACCACCTACTGTCTTAACATTTCTGAAGTGCATTGCACTTGAATGTTATGAGGATAAGTTGTTTGTGTCAAATAATGGGAAAACTTGGAAAGGTGGCTATAGAGTTTGATGCTTCAAAGCATCTAAATAAATACTTCCTTCCCACTTCCCCAGACCATGGAAGAGTATTAAAGTCATAGTGTTGCATCACTCTTTTATATTTTTTTAATTTTTTTTATTTTTGTGAGTGTACCGTCAAATCAGATCTGACTGGTACAGGAGGAGATTGCCCCTCCTTCCCCAGCAGAGCATCTGGTGGATTCGAACCGTGCACCTATGGGATTGTAGTTGCAGCTTCTTACCACTAGGCCACCAGAGCTCCCCTAACTCTTTTATATTTTTTAAGCAAGGCTCTGTTAATGATGTTTATGAGAAGTGGGAATCTCTCCGAAAGAGAACGAAGATAATATTTTAAATGCTGAAACAGTAAAAAAAATAACATGAACCCAATGAAAGAATTTTTCTCTTACTTTTCCAAGAGGGTAGTGTACTAGGGGGGGAGGGTTGGGAGGGGAGAAAAGTCCAACAATGAATGAATAGAAACACAAAGTCTCTATAAATTTTCATTGAAATTAATAATAATTTTTTTTTAAAAAAAGAAAGAGGGCACAAAAATGGTGGACATGATTAATTCGCTGAACTGTCCCTTTCTAAGGATCTCCTGACAACATACTCAAAGTATGTGAGATAAAGTTTCTCCACAAAGAATGAGAGAATGAAGGAGATGGAACCCTCTCTGTCAGCCCACACTGGGAAAACCCCCAGTCAACATCTAAGGGTTCTGTAGTGTTAGCTTAAAAGTTGAATTTTCTGGCCATTACATTAGTCCCCTCTGGTCTCCAGCTACCTTATCTATAGACATATAGTCCAGAAAATCATCAACAGCTGTGGGATGAGGATAAGAGGGAAAATGCCTCCCACACTGAGCACTGAGCAGTAAGACTTGAGGGAGACTGTAGCTACACCCTAGTGAGAATGAGACCATGGTGGGAAGACACTGATGATGGTGGTAAAGAGACTGTGGCATTGCTATGGAGAACTGTGGCAAGGTGTAACCAGAGGAGTCTGAGATAAAAGTCACAGTTAAAGGTTTTGTTGTTCTCTCTCTCTTTTTGTGTGTGTGTTTTGTTTTGTTTTGTTGTTCCTGACAGATGATGGAAGGAAAAGCTGACTGCAGACCTGAAACCCAAGCCAGGATTAATTTAGGATTTGTGCCTTGGGACTGCTGAGCTAAAACCTGGGTTTGCATTGGATGAGATTCTTTGTCTTTCCCACTCTTCAACTTGTTATTGTTGTTACGTGCTGTCAAGTACAACGAATAGCGACCCTATGAAAAAAGATCTGAACTCTGTTCTGTCGTGTGCCATCCTTTCACTTTGTGACACACAAGAGGCCATTGCAGCAGTCACTATGTCAATCCACCTCATTGAGAATCTTCCTCTCCTTTGTTCTCCCTCCACACTTCCCAGCAGCATGTTCTCCAAGGAATAGCACCTCCTAGCAACACGTCCAAACTATGTCCAAACTATCATTCTTGCCACCAAAAGGCTCTCCAGCTGCACCCTCTCCAAAACATATCTATTTGTTCTCTTGGCCATCCATGA